CACCAGATACTCAGACCGGAGCCAGCCCTTGTCTTCAGGAAGCTCAAAGTCATAACCCCAGAAGCAAGCACTGTGGTCTTCAATGGGCTGTTAGCGCAGGTGACACTTTTCCAGGTGGGGCAATGGAGACCTAGGGATGGGCCGGGGGTGCTCATCTTTACCTGGAGCCAGCTGAGCACAAGGGCTTCACACTTCCTCAGTCCTCTGCCCCCAGCATCTTCCTGTCTGGATTTCGTCATTTTGAGTCTCTTCCTCTTGGCACTTTAAAAGTGAAATAACACCATTTCAGCTTCTCTTAGCACAGGAAGCGCTTTTCCCAAGTGGGGCCTTTTCTGTGCCTGTAGGGCTGGCCCGTGGGGAACCAGGGCCCTGGACCGTTGGAGTCAGGCAGTGTATTTATTATTCACTCAGTATCTATCAAGTGCTTATTCCACAAGCAGATCTGAGTAAGGCATAGTAATAAATAGCCAGTCTTGCCTTCTCAGCACCGACTGAGGCAAGTGTCCTCCTTAAAATGGAAAAAAAAAAAGCTGCCATGAAATTTCAGAGCATCTTCTAATCTCAATTTTGCCTTTTTCAAGCTGTGTAACTTTAAGCAAATCACTTAAAAACTCTAAGAACCTGTTTCCAGATGTGGTTTTTTTTTTTTTTTTAAGTGTGATACCTAAGAGAACAATTACGCATATGCCTCCAACAATCTTTTTGTTTAGGGGAGGGAGCGGTCCCCTAGGGGCTAACTACGTGCTACCCCTCCAGGTGGGCCCTAGGCCATCAGGGGTCGTCAGTGTCCCTTGCTCCCCACTTCCTCGTGCCCTCCTCAATGCCTTTAAGGTGCTGGCACCCCGGCCCTATCGAGTCAGCTTGCGGAGCACTGGGACCCAGAAGATCGCGAGTGGGGTGAGGCGTGCGAGGCGGCGCTAGGAGAGGTCTCAGGTGTTTTCAGCCACCAGACCCAGAGTCAAGTGTGCAGTCAGGCCGGCTTCAGCCGAGTACCCCAGCAGGCAGGGATCCCATCCCCCTCACCCGCGCCTCCCACGCGCGGATTCTGGTCTGGTCCTGCCCCGCCCGCTGGGCCCACGCGGCGGGCGGGGCGAGCCGGGGGCCTTTGTGTTCCAACCGCCCAATGGGCGGTGGCAGTGGGCGGTGACGCGGGCGGAGCCTGGCCAATGGGTTGCGGCCTGTCAGCGTTGACTGACAGGCCCACGCATCACACTCGGCCACGCGCGCGCCGTTCGGCCCCACTCGCGCAGCGCAGTTCAGCGCGGGCCGCATTGTCCGCCTGCCAGCCCGCCTGCCGCCTCTCCGCGCGCGCCCCGGGTCCCCGCGCCGACCGCCGCTCCCCGGATTCCGACGCGGTAAGGCGGGTGGCGCGCCCGGGCGGCGCGGCGGGCCTCGGAAGCCCCCGGCCTTGTACAGAGCAGCGGCGGAGGCAGGTAACAGCCGGCCGTGGGCCTCTGGCGAGCGGACGCGCCGGGAGAGGGTGATGGGCCGGCCTCGCCCCCTTCCCCGCGGGTCCCGGGTCGGCCTGACCCCGGGGTCATCGTCAGGCCGCACCGGCCAGAACCGAGCTGCCCAGGCCTGGTTCTTCCTCTCCAGCCAAGCTGGGCCAGGCTCCAGCCCCGCCCGGAGCACGCCCCTGGCCCAGTCGAGAAGGGCCAAGCGCCAAGGCCGGCTTGACTCATCGCCGCCGCCGCCGAGCCCCCGCCTCCGGGACTGGCCTCCCCACTGGTCATCCAAAGGGCGCTTGTCTCCGGGCGGGACTTCCCCGGGCCGAACCTCCCCGGGAGGAGGGGAGCGGAGACCCGGCTGTCCAAACCGGCCCTGGCCGGTGCCTGCGTTTTCGTGCCAGTTCGGCAGTTTCCAGGGACTGGCAGTTCTCTGCTTCTGCCGCCGCCTGTCAGAACTCTGGGAATAGGGAGGAGGCCCATTTTGTTCAGTTCTAAAAAAAAAAAGCAAACAAATAGGGGGAGGGAGTGTTACTTAGAGCAGAGAGGAAGGGACAGGCGCGTGGTTGGTAAAAAAAAAAGAGAGAAAGAAAAATCTCCTGTAGTTTCAGCCAGTAGGGCCTGAAGGGAGAAGAAGAGTTAGCACCTGGAGCGGTTTGCCGGTCCCACGAGGGAATGCGGTGTGAAAATGTCAGGCGGAGGATGTCAAGATCTAGGTTAAGTCCGAAGAGTGACTGGATACTGCCATATAAGTTTGTGACGAGGGAGGGAAAGGTGGAGTTGAAAAAAGGATGTGGTCAGCTCAAAAGTGGGGCGGGATGTTTTATTTGAGGGTATCTTAACTGTGTGTGTGTTGCTGGGGGCGGTGTTGATTCTGATATGCAAAAGATTTGAGCTCCTAGAGGCTCACCTCTTGTTTTGTTTTGGAGGACAGAGCTTTGGCCTTTTTTGTGAAACCCAGGCTCAGTTTTGTGTTAGCAGGTATCATAAACTGTTTTGTGATACCAGAACCCTAGGAGGAAGACACCCCTCTGGGAGGGTGTGCACTGCTGTTGGTTTTCAGCAACCCCTCCCCCAGCTCCAACACACACACACACACACACACACACCCTCCATCTACATATTTCTTTACACACACACACACACACACACACACCCTCCATCTACATATTTCTTTACACACACACACACACACACACACCCTCCATCTACGTATTTCTTTATATTCTTGCCAACAGCAGCCTGAGTTCTGTGTAAACACTTTGCTATGTTCCTGCCCCAGGGCAAAAGCTTCATCAACTTTATCAGGGCAGGGTTAAGAGGAGGAGCCTGTGCCTGTGTGGGCATCTGGAGCTTCCAGGTAGGGAGGGTAGTAGTGGGGGTGGAATTACCTTATAAGGCATTGAATATAGAAAAGGACCCAGGCCAACTTCCTGCTGTGGCTACTACCAGTCGGTCGCTTTACCAACCTCGGCTTAAACCAGGGACGATGCCAGGTGAGCATCCTACCCGTGAGGACACCAGTAAGTCCCAAGACACGAGACTGCTTATATTCTGTAAGAGAACTTTGTAGAATTCTCCAGCCAAACCAGCCAGATCTCCTGGTTTCCATGGTGTGAGTTGGGATGTGTTAGAGCCTATGGCCACCACACAACCCAGAGAAGTAGTAATTTAAGTATCAACCAGGAGGGGCTTCCATGGTGGCTCAGTGGTGAAGCATCCACCTGCCAAGGCAGGAGACATGGGTTCTATCCCTGATCCAGAAGATTCCACATGCCACAGAGCAGCTAAGCCCATGCACCACTATTGACCCAGCGCTCTGCAACAAGCAAAGCGACTGCAATGAGAAGCCCATGCAGCCACGGCAATAAAGATGGAGCACAGCTTAAAAAAAAGTATCAACCAGGAATATTAGAAGTGATAACAAGTCACAAATACTACTAGGGCCAAAGTATATCAGTGACTTTGTAACACTTTGTAACACTTTGTAACAAAGGCACCATGTTTAGAGTGCTCACACTGGTTATCAGAGATTCTGAATTGGGATTTCTAGAGCTGAAAGGTTTATTACTCCCCCTGTGTTGTAGAATGCCGCCTTTTGCCAGGTCTTTTCACCTTGGCCTTGTCCCAGAGCCTTGGTTTCCACCCGCTGTGGTGGCTGGTCTGGCTGGTAGAGGCTGACAGTAATCTCACACAGCTGCTCCACCTACCTGTTTTGTTAGTTTGTTAACCAATATTTGTAATGTAACAACTCTGTCCACAGTCTGTTCTGAACATAATTTTTTTTTTTTAAGTCGCTTAGTCCTGTTGGACTCTTTGCAACCGCATGGACTATACAGTCCATGGAATTCTCCAGGCCAGAACACTGGAGTGGGTAGCCTTTCCCTTCTCCAGGGGATCTTCCCAACCCAGGGATCAAACCCAGGTCTCCTGCATTGCAGGTGGGGAAGCCCAAGAATACTGGAGTGGGTAGCCTATCCCTTCTCCAGCGGATCTTCCTGACTCAGAAATTGAACCGGGGTCTTCTGCACTGCAGGCGGATTCTTTACCAACTGAGCTATCAGGGAAGCCCTTTGAACATAACGGAGGCTAAAAAAGGCTCTAGTTGGGGACACAACAACACCTTTCTGAAACAACTTGAAAACTTCTTGGTGGAGTTGAAAGACCCAGGCCCCAGCACAGTGCACACTCTGCCACTGTCACTTACAGCCGGGGTTATTGATCTATGGGCAGGTTACTGATCCTCTCAGTGCTCCCAGGTTCCCCCCTGTACAGTGGGAGTGGTGATACCTCCCTTGATCATAAGGATCAGAAATGAGTATGTCAGGAGCCCCGTACCCAGGAGACATTTAACAAAGTATTTTATCACCACCATCAGCATCATATCAAGAGGCACTGATGTTACAGGCCAGTAATCACTAATGGGCTAGGCACCCAGGCTCCAGCAGAATGTAGGCGGGGATTACCGTGGAAAGGTTTTCTGGAGTCAGAGTTTGACTGGGGCTCTGAATCAATGAATACAGCTACAAAGAAAGGAATGCACGTCCCACTTAAGGGAAGCAAGCTAGAACAAGAATGGGCACAGCTCTAGGGACTGGGCAGCCCAGTAAGACAGCTGGACTGGAAAGTCTGTTCAGGGCAGCAGTGATGAGCGGCGTTTGTTTAGCACCTGTAGCCTGTTTGTTTAGCAGGTGCCACAGGCTCCGCCTGGTGTCAGAGGTTGCAGAAGCCCCAGTTCTGGGTCTCGGAGCTCAGCATCCAATAATTTAGAAGTCTGGAAATCCTGTGTACCTGCTTTGAAAGAGGCTGGCCGAGTGCAGGAGGCTGCAGGTGGGTGGGGCCGGGATGCTTAATCAACACCCGGTCTCGCCCACATCTCAGGCTCTTCGGTTGAATGCACAGGGGTGTGTGTTCACTGGGAGGCTGTGTCTTGTCTCTCCTCCCTGCCCCCCACCCCGGCCTCGGGGAGGGGCTAAAAGCAGCCCCCAGCCTCACCTGGCCGCCTTTCTCTCCCCAGACTCCCTTCAGGGGAAGGGTCCCCCCACCCACCTCATCATGTCTCGACGAAGCCAGCGCCTCACGCGCTACTCCTCCCAGGGTGATGATGATGGCGGCAGCAGCAGCAGCGGAGGGAGCTCAGTGATGGGGAGTCAGAGCACCCTGTTTAAGGACAGTCCTCTCAGGTAGGGGCTCCCCACCACCCCCAGCCAGTGGGTCCCCCAACCCACCGAGCCAGTGTCTGGGGTGGTTCACCGTGCTGCCTCTTCCCGTTGTGACTTCTGTGGGCAGAGACCAGACCTTGCCCATGTCCGGTCAAGGGGACAGCCACACCTCTGAGGATGCCAGAGCCCAGCGCTGTTTCTTCTGTCTAAGCTGGGCTGTCTCATATTCAGAGAACAGGAAGTGGGGAGAGGCAGTTTCAAGCATAAGCCAGGCCGGAAACCCCAAAACTGAGTGCTGGGCTCACAGGAACCCCTTCTGCTGTGGATGGCTGTGCCAGACCCACAGCTGCCTGCCTCACCGTCTGTCTGTCTGTAGGGCCTCAGCAAGGCCAGCGAAGCAGCTGAGGACATGAACAAGTCCAAGGGCACCAGGGATGTGAGCTAAGGCAGGCATCCCCCCCATCGCATCCTGCCCCCTGGCAGGCGCAAGGCCGGGATAACAGCCCCCGGAGGCTTTGAGTAGCTCTCCGAGGCCAGGTCGGCTTTGTCTGAGTTTTCAGTGGGTGGCAGAAACGACTAATCCATCAGGAAGCATGAAAGAACACTGGGGCTTTGAAGTTCGAGACCTGGATTTGAATCCCGACTCCCTCACTGATCTTACCTAACTGCTTGTGAGATTTAGAGATAATGGGAGCACAGAAAGTACCTGCTTTGCCTGGCAGACAGTCAGCAGATGGGGGTTGTTAGTTGCCTAGCAACACAGCTACCCACCCGCCCCCCACCTCCCCATGCCACTCACCGTAGGAGGGCAGAGCATTCCAGGCCGGCTCACCTGCCTGCTCCCGCCTCTCCCCTCCTGGCTGACCTCCCACAGGACCTTGAAGAGGAAATCCAGCAACTCCAAGCGCCTCTCCCCAGCGCCGCAGCTGGGTCCCTCCTCGGACACACACACCTCCTACTACAGCGAGTCCATGGTCAGAGAGTCCTACATCGGCAGCCCACGGGCCGCTTCCATCGCGGCCTCCCTCACCAGGAACTCCCTCCTCGACGACCCCTACTGGAGTGAGTATCCCCAACCCTCCTCCGAGGCCTTGGCTTCCTCTGGAGATTTATGGTTCAAAATCCACCAGCCCCCCACAGAAGGTTTCCTAACCACTGCTGGGCCAGAAGACAGGCGCCCCACTTTTGGAAATCCTTGGAAGAGCAGCCAGGTGTCTGAACTTCCAGGTCCTTTTAGATGATGAAGTAGCCACGTGTCCGCTCCAGACTTAGGAGACAGAGGGGGCGGGTCCTAGTCCACCCTTCCTTGGACTCAAGGGAGCTTGGGAGGGGCTCAGAGTAGATTCCATCTGCCCATCAGAGATGCTCCTCAGGGTATTCCCAGGAACACTGCCTCCCTCCTTGGAGCATCTGCCCCAGGAGAACCCTGAGTTCTTCCCTCCCCAGGTGAGGACCTGCGGGTGAGGAGAAGGAGAGGCACGGGCGGCACCGACAGCAGCAAGGTCAACGGGCTCCCGGAGAACAAGCTCTCCGAGGACTTCCTTGGGTCCTCCTCGGGCTACTCCTCTGAGGATGACTACGTAGGTAGGCAACGTCCCCCTTCCCCAGGCTCGGGAAGACACTCCGCCAGGTTCCCGGGCTGCTGGGAAGCCGGGGAGGGTGCCCTGACAGCTTAGGAGAGCACCCGTGTCCAGCTGGGCATCGCTGCTGGGCCACCGTGGTACCCGAGCCAGGCTAGGGGTGGTCCTGGACATGCCGGGCTGCGATGGCCAGGCCCCACGAGGCCCTGAGCAGCCTGTGACTAGTCCCCTTGTTCTGATGTTTCCAGCAAGTGTTAAGCATGAGCCTTCACACACAGGAGGTGCTGATTCCTTAGTCCAGTTCTGAGTGGTTTGAGGGACTGCTGGTAAGCAGAGGGAAGCAGACAGAAGTTCGAGGGAAATAAAACGTTGGGAACCGAGCATGTCACTCCAACGGCGTTTCCTGACCTGTCTCCTGCCAGCCTGAGTCACTGGGGACATGAAGGAGACTGACATACCGTCTCAGCTCACAGGCTAGAGGAGCAGACAGTGGCGGTCTTCCATATTCCAGGGCTCTTATGAGGGAGGACAGTGGTAGGACTCTGTGCTTCCACTGCAGTGGATGTGGGTTCCACCCCTGGTTGGGGAAGTTAAGATCCCACAGGCCGCGTGGTGCAGCCAAAAAAAAAAAAAAAAGTAAAAATGTTAAAATGAAAGCGTGAAGACAACTGAGCTGTTCCCTCTCCCCCCTGACCCCCGCCACCCCACAGGCTACTCGGAGACAGACCACAGGGGCTCAGGGTCACAGCTGCGGAATGCTGTCTCCCGGGCGGGCTCTTTTCTCTGGATGGTGGTCACCTCTCCAGGTGGGTGCACACTGCTCTGTGCACGGTCGTTTCTGTTTTCTCCGGCAGTTACTTTCGCCCATCTTTCTGCAGTTGGGCATCCAACTCTGTTATGGAGACTGTAGTGCCACTGGGAAAAGCTTGTTCCAGAATAATCGCTGGGAGCCGGGAGCCACAGGAGCACCCTTGCTTGGAAGCGGGATGGAGGGCGTTGGCAGCACGGGCGGGCGGGTGGGACGATGGGGACTGGGAGGCATGGGACAGGACAGAGGTGCACTGGCCATCAGGGTTGGGGTCGGGGCAGGAGGACCTCAGGTAAAGACCCACGAGTCAATGGTTCAGGGTGGCACTTGGGCTCCACGGGCCCTTTTCCAGGCCGGCTCTTCGGGCTCCTCTACTGGTGGATCGGCACCACCTGGTACCGCCTGACCACAGCCGCCTCCCTCCTTGACGTCTTCGTTTTAACCAGGTGAGCGAAATTGACAAGGAATCAGAAGGCCCTGGGCAGGGGGGTGGCCAGTAAAGCATCTAAACCTGTACGCAATCGTTTCTCTGAAGGGTTTTCCCCAGTATTTGCTGCTTGTATTAGAGAGCATGGAATGGATGCCCAAAGCTCTGCTCTGCCTGACAGAGGGTGGGACGCAGGGTCAGGCTTTGCCCCTTGAATTAATAGCTCATCAGGGGGCATTCCGGAGCACAGGTTCTTGTTTCTTCTCGGGTGCTTCCTGCTGAACACCAGCCCAGCCACTTCGGAGTCTCAGGCGAGCTTGGCCTTACTCCCATGGCCAGGCCTTATGCTCTAGCTGGCAAGTGGTATTTCCCAGCATCAAGGGCGTGGTGTCCTTGGCCCCCGGTGTTTCCATGTTGTGTTCAGAAGCCATGAACGGGTGTGGCCTGAGGATGCTGTGGGTCTGTTCCCCAAGTCCCTTACCCAGCAGAGCCAGATTTTGGGAGCTGGCCCTTGGGCAGAGGAAGGAAGACTGAACCAGGAGGTTAGTGGGGTCCTCTGGCCCTAAACCTGGTTGGAGTGGGCAGCCAAATATGCTGAAAAGAGGAGCAAGGGTGAATTCTTGTCACCAAAAAAGGCTCCTCATTTTTCTAAAAGAAATATTGTCTAAGGAGTTAACTTATCTTTTCTTCTATATTTGCTTGCTTTGAAGATCTCTGTGTATAAGAGTTTTAGATTATTCAAGGACCCCAGGATTTATTTTTAATAACATCAGTATAATTCAGAGTCAGAATTGTCCCCATCACTCCCAGCTCTGCAGGTAAAGCTCTCAGCAGCCAGTCTGGCCCTGGCAAGATGCAAGGCTTGAGGGTGTCCCCCCACCGACTGTAGCTCAGCACTCTAGGGACTCCCTAAGGGCACCCAGAGGCCCTAGAGGCCTCTTGACCCCTCCGCCTGCCCTCTCTCCCCTCCTGTGGTCCAGACGCTTCTCATCCCTGAAGACGTTCCTGTGGTTCCTCTTGCTGCTGCTGCTTCTGACTGGCCTGACCTATGGTGAGTTGTCCACTGTCACCGGGAAGGGAGGACTCTCCTTGTGGAGATGGGGCTGGTGAGCCAGAGGGGCAGGCAGAGTCTGCACCTAGCGTGGCACTGAGCAGAAATCTGAAAACTGGAGGGATACTGAAAAGCTACAGTAAGCGCAAAGACAAGGCGGGGTTGGATCAAGCCTGGGCAACATCCTGTCTGGCTCTCCTGGGCCCTCTGGTGATCAGCAGGTGGAAGGGGCAATGCCCCAGCCTGCCGATCTGGTCGTTGGTTTGGTGGCTCTGTGGGACGGCCTGGCATGTCTAGAGCATGCTTGGAGGCCATGGGGCCAGAAGATGCCCTGTTACAGGAGTGCTGGGGTAAAAGACAGGGACTCTGACACTGTTGTTAGCAATCATTTTCCCTCCGTTCCAAATCAGGACGTAGTGTGGGTGAGTGAATTCTTACTCCATCAAGGCTTCAGCTGTCTTTAAGATCAAAACCATGAAGTAGGAAAGAGAAGTAAGAGCACTTTTTTGCACCAAGATACTAAATTACGTTTCGTTTGCAAGATGCTCCACCTTGTGCTGATCTCTATCATTGAACTTTCACATTTTTTTACAGTTATAATCGTTACACTTTCTTATGAGCGTCCCCTGTGGCCCCCGGGCTCAAAGTTACCAATTTATAACTAAAGACCATGCTTTATTATTATTATTTTTTTAGAGTTGGTTTTTTAGCATCTACTGAAGTTGTATTTCTTTAATTCATCCCAAAGTAGGACATCTTTCCAAGTGTTGATTCCCTTGCTGTTATAAGAACAGCGTGTTCCTATTCAGTGGAAACTGGGTATCACTCTTAAAACAATAACAATGACTTTGTGATCCTATAGCATTATGTTTGGGAAGCACATTCCCTCGTGCTATCTGTTTCACCATCCCCACATGGGGTTGGCGGAGACAAGGTCGTCACAGCCTCACGAGGAGATGCACATAGAAAGTCTGAAAGGCCGAGGGGTGGAGTGGCCAGCTCAGGGAGGGCAGTGAGCGAAGGCCTGTCCGGAGGGTCTGACTTAAAGCCCGATGGTCACGTACTTCCCATTGCACCTGCTCGAGGCCAACAATCGTGTGGCAAGTGTGGCATCATACCAGGCTGGAGACCCCGCAGCCAGTGTGACTTCTCCAGGCGCTGTCACTGCCACGCACACATGTACATGCCCACACATGCACGTGCGTAGCTCAGGAGTAAATACAGCTGGCCCCGAAAGCAATACGTCTTTGTGTGGCAGCTGAGTGCTCTGTTCTGGGGCCACAGGCAGCCTCTCTGAGCGGGTGGATTCTGTTCCAGTGATGGCGCAACTATGGCCACCCATTGGAGTCACTTGGGGAGCTTTTAAAACTCATTGCAGAGGGATCTGCTAAGGCCAGCGAGCTCACTCCCTGGCAGGTGGGGCCAGACGCTGTTGGAGAAGCTCCCTGGGTGATTCTGCCGTACAGGCTGAGAAGCACCTTCAGGGCCTCTGTGTTCCATCCCTGGACAGTCTTCAGCTTCCAGCGATTTCCTGCAAGCCTTGCCGTCTATGGAAAGATTAGGATTCCTGAGGGGATGTGAAATGCTTATAGTCTGTGATCATCAGGTGGAGGTTGCTGCCTCAGTGGGGGAACCTCCATCTCTCCTACCACCTTCGGCAGGAGCAAGGCTCCCACGAGTGAGACAGGCTAGTGATGAGCACAGCTGCCGTGTGCCTCCTCGCTGGGCCCCGACCCCGGTAACTACCCTCTCCTCTGTGTGCAGGAGCCTGGTACTTCTACCCCTTCGGGCTGCAGACGCTCCACCCCACTGTGGTCTCCTGGTGGGCCTCAAAGGGGAGCAGTGGGCAGCGTGAGGTGTGGGAGTCCAGAGACTCATCCCCACATTTCCAGGTGAGCGTCTTAGGGTCGCAGCACCGCCCCCACCCCGCCACCGCCCACCGTCGGCCTGCATTTGCCATTGCATTCCTTGCCCTCACTCCTCACACACTACTAGCCGAAAAGATGCTGCCTGTCTCCCAGGACACCTTCCTGTCTCTACTGTTCGTGGTGCAGGGGGTGGGGAGGAAGTTCTGCCTGCACTTAAATGTGACTCAGACCTGTCCTAAAGTTAGTTTCCATCCTAAGAAGCACAGAAAACAAAAGGAAAAGAAATCAGACAAATTGTCTTCTTTCTTCCTTTTTAATACAGTATCACAAATATTTACTGAGTACCTTCTGGGAGTCAGGTAACATCCTGGTCCGTTACCTACTACTACCAAAATCAGGGCCTTAAGATTACCAGTACTGGAGGGTCACCTGCAGCGGTTCAGTGGTTAAGACTCCACTCTTCCACTGCAAGGGACATGGTATTGATCCTTGGCCAGGGAATTAAGATCCCGCAAGCGGCACAGTGTGGCCAAAAAGAAAAGTGCCAGCATTGGACTAGCTCGTGAATCCGCAGGTCCTCTGGGTAGCTTTTCTGGTCTGAGCAAGGACAGCTGATCTTGGCTAGGCCCCCTCGACTAGAGCATCCACAGCGGACTGGTGGGTCAGCAGGGGCGCCTGGCCTGGCCGGGCTGTACCTTCAATGTCCGGCTAGCTAGCCTGGGCTTGCTCTCACAGCAACTGGGCAGGGTTCCAGGAGGGTGGAATCAGGCCAGACTTCAAGGACTAGATTCACTTCTGCCACATTCTGTTGGCCAGATTCAAGGAGAGGGAAAGAGACTCCACCTCTCATGGGAGCACCTGGGAAGCCACATTGCAGAGGGTACAGGTGTGAGGAGGAGGGCAGGATAGTGGTCATTTTTTGGATCCTGTCAGAGGCTAAAGATGGATCGGGTCCAGACCATGCCCTCAAGAGGCCTGGGGTCAAGGGCGGGAGGGGTGATGCATGCACAGACAACAGCAGTGTGTGTGTACAGGTCCTGGGCTCTGCAATGAAGATGTAAAACTCTTTGTCCTCTAATTACTGTTATGTGAACTTTGCTTGCATCCTGCTGAATTTAACTTGGCATCACATTTTTAACCATTTATTTTAGTGGATAGTACTTTACTGACCGTAATGTTATTATTTCAAAAAATAAAGTGTTGTGGCATCTTTAACTTTTTTTTAATCACTAGTAAAGACAATTCAGTTTCAGGACCAGCTTTTCTGTAAAATGGGGGAAGTAAAGGATGAACCTATCTTTGTATTTATTTTCATCTGCGTTTAAAAAATAGTTGCCTATGAAGGGTTGGTGGTGAGGGCCCTGGGTGAATGGAGCAGAGGTTAGGACCTTGACTTTGCTATTTGCTTTTTGAGTCATGCAAATACCGCCTAGTTTAAAAATAGAATTTTTGAAAGTTAGAAGCCCAACCTCTGTTCCCACTAGGCTCCTGCCTTTTAATCGAGCTGGCAGGCTGTGTGTTCCTGGGACTCCCTTCCATTTCTTTTTAGGAAGCTCTGTTGTCACGAGTTCCTCACCTCTGTGGCTTTCCCCACTCCCCGCCCTTCCAGGCCGAGCAGCGCATTCTGTCCCAGGTACACTCGCTGGAGCGGCGCCTGGACACTCTTGCTGCTGAGTTCTCATCCAGCTGGCAGAAGGAGGCCATGCGGCTGGAGCGCCTGGAGCTGCAGCAGGGGGCTGGCGGGCAGGGAGGCGGAGGCGGCGGCCTGAGCCACGAGGACACTCTGGTGCTCCTGGAGGGGTTGGTGAGCCGCCGCGAGGCTGCCCTGAAGGAGGACCTCCGCAGGGACACTGCTGCTCGGATCCAGGTGGGCGACAGGAGCTGAGGGGCCGTACAACCCTCTGTGTGGGTGACACCCTGGGTGTGTGGGGTGGAGGGGGCGAGGCCCCGCACTCCATGGCATGAGGGAGCCCGCAGCGTCAGGGCCAGACAGCTGTGCCACTCGGCAGTTACCTTCTCTAAGCCTACTGTCCTCCTCTTTGCGATGGAGGCTCTCCTGTCTGCCCTGTCCCTGGTCTTGAGAACAAGAGGCTGTGGTGCACGTGGCACGGTGCCCGTGTGGGTGCCGCAAACCATGCAGGTGTGCAGTTAAGACGAGAGGAGTCTTGCATGTTTCCAGGAAGGCACTGTAGCAGAAAGGCCAGGGCTGAAGTTTGCAATCAAACAGGCCTGGTTTGAATTCCAGTTACACCGCTTAGTGGTTTTAAGTGGCCCTCTGAGCACGGCTCAGTAGCGTTCTCAGCCTCTCTCCTATACCTGATAGGAAGAGCTGGTCACCCTGAGAGCAGAGCATCAGCAGGACTCAGAAGACCTTTTCAAGAAGATTGTCCAGGCCTCCCAGGTTGGTGAGCTTGGGGCTTGATCCAGTTCATCATCTCTTCTTGGGCTGGAACACCTTGACCCCAGAGGGTCTGCTTAGACATAGAATGGGGAGAAGGATGTGTAGTCTCCTGACTTCTGCTTGAACTGAATGCCCCTGGGCTGGAACACTCTGCGAAGATGCCCTGGGAGTGTGCCGGAGGACAGGAAGGGCTTTCAGGTGGCGTGTTGTGCCCGGTATAACATGCTAAATGAATGAGTGAATGGCTGAGTGCCTGAGCGCAATAGTTATGGGGTGAGACTCACATCAGGACATCAACTGGGAGGCCAGTTTGACATTTGCTAGAAGAGCCAGCCAGGAGGCCCTGGGGTGGGGATGTGGTTAAGCAGAGACCCCAAAAGGAACAGATCCTGCTCTGGGAGACTGATTGCTGTGAGCCTGACAGTCCTTGAATTGGTGTCTTCTTCCTGCTTATAGGAATCTGAGGCTCGACTCCAGCAGCTGAAGTCAGAGTGGCAAAGGTAATGGGCGCTGCTGTCTGTCCTAGGCTTGCTCATCTCCAGCCTCTCCATTCCCACCTCCAGACAGGAGTCGAGGGCAGAAACCCAGAGCAGAGTTCTGTGTCCCAGGCTGAGAAGGAGATGGCAGAAACCTGGCTCAGGACCATCTGCTCAGAGCCTGTCCTCCAGGGGCAGTGGCGGTTGGGGTAGGGGATCGTGGGTACTGCCGGAAAATCAGAATTCCTGGGTTCATTTATAGATGCACCATCTTTCCTGTGCAGCCTTGTGCTGGCTGCCTTTCTGTGCCCCAGATGACAGTACTGGTGGAGGATGTGAGAGCTGAGGCAGCGAATTCTGGATCTGGGCTTAGGAGCGAAGCAGGATAATAACTAGCTCCTTGGGATATGCAGGCCAAGCGTAGGCACCAGAGCTGTTCTACAGCCTCAGTTTAGAACCTCCGAAAGCAGGCCTTGCACTCACGTATGTCAAGTGCCAACTAGGGGATCCTCTCGTTTGCCTCAGCATAGCCTTACCCCTCACTGGAGACCCACAGCTTATTCTTCTGTTTGGGAGTAGGATGACCCAGGAGTCCTTCAAGGAGAACGCCATGAAGGAGCTGGGGCGGCTGGAGGGTCAGCTGGCAGGCCTGCGGCAGGAGCTGGCAGCCCTGACCCTGAAGCAGAGCTTGGTGGAGGACCAGGTGGGGCTGTTGCCCCAGCAGCTCCAGGCCGTGCGGGATGACGTGAGTTGGAACCCTCTGGGTTCCCCGGGAATACCCCTCCTCTGCGCCGGTCCTGGGAGCCTGCGAGGCAGAGTGCCTCCTGCCCCTGCTCTGGGCACAGATGCTGGCTTTCTTTGATGGAAGTTCTTCCTGTTTTCTCACTGATAATACGGAGGGTTGTTCCTCTTTCCCCGCTGTGGCCTGAGCAGGCAGGCACGTGCCAGCCCTCCCCTTGCTGGAATGAATACAGAGGAGCCTGTACTCACTGCCTGGCCTCTTGACCCAAGCCAGGCGCCGCCCCCAACCCCCCACTCCAGTCCGGCTGGGCCCTGCGGTGGCAGCTTCCACCTTCCCAGTGAGCCTCCCAGAGTGAGACCGTTTTGGTCCCTAGGTGGAGTCTCAGCTCCCTGCCTGGGTCAGTCAGTTCCTTCTTCGAGGTGGGGGAACCCGCACTGGGCTCATTCAGCGAGAGGAGATGGAAGCTCAGCTGCGGGAGCTGGAGAGCAAGATCCTCGCCCACATGGCTGAGATGCAGGGCAAGTCGGCGAGGGAGGCCGTGGCCAGCCTGGGGCTGACGCTGCAGAGGGAAGGCGTGATTGGGGTGACCGAGGAGGTGAGGACTCTGTTCCTGGACCCCCCACAATGACTGATCCACCCCCCACACACACTGCTCTCCTCCTGGGAGCCATAGAACTCCACGGTCCCACCCTGCCAGCTCCCTGGCAGGTTCCAGGACCTAAGTGACATGCAGGAGCCTCCGATGTTTGCTTTGGGGCTGGTGTGAGGGGGCAGGGGTACGCCTAGGGAAGTGCCACACGTGTCCGGACATCAGGGTGGCGCAGGCAGCAGAGGGCTGTCTGCGGGTCCCTGGCCCCTCAGAGTGGGGCACAGAGGTGGACGAGTTGGCTTCCCCATCCCAGCTGCTCTGGGCGCCTGTGTTTTAGCAGGTGCACCGTATCGTAAACCAGGCTCTGAAGCGCTACAGCGAGGACCGCATCGGGATGGTGGACTACGCTCTGGAGTCGGGAGGTGTGTCTAGCTTGCCTCCCTTTGCTGGGCCCCCCTTGCCCCACACTGCAGGCCCCCTGGCATGTGCTGGGGCAGCCGTGGTGCTAAGCAAGCAGGGCTTGAAGTCAGCAAAAATCAGAACCCAGAACTCACCACAAAGGCGAGCAACTGTGGGAGAGGGCAGGATATACTGAGGGTAATCCTTCACCAGGGCGGGCTGATGCTTACTGCTGCTCTGTGGTCTGGGTCAGATAGAAAGACCTGTCCTGAGGGAACAGGCAGGTTCCCTTGGCTGGCAAGCTAAGGAGCCCACTGCCGGGGTCTCTCTCCCCTGCTAGTGTCCAGCCCCCGGCACCCCGCCCCCAGTGCCCACCCTTGGCACCCGGGCGCCAGCCCCCAGCACCCAGCCTGCTTCTCTTTCTGGTCTCAGGGGCCAGTGTCATCAGCACTCGATGTTCGGAGACCTACGAGACCAAGACGGCCCTCCTCAGCCTCTTCGGCATCCCCCTGTGGTACCACTCCCAGTCTCCCCGAGTCATTCTCCAGGTGGGGCCCTGAGCACCCCGTGTCACCTCCGTGGCTGTCCCACCCTGAGTCATAAAGAGCTGTGCTCAGGGCAGGCTGTCTTCGCCACCTGCCGCGCGCTGACCTGTCTTTTTCCCCTCCAGCCAGATGTGCACCCGGGCAACTGCTGGGCCTTCCAGGGGCCCCAGGGCTTTGCTGTGGTTCGCCTTTCTGCCCGCATCCGCCCCAGTGCTGTCACCTTAGAGCACGTGCCCAAATCCTTGTCGCCCAACAGCACCATCTCCAGTGCCCCCAAGGACTTTGCCATCTTTGTGAGTATCCCTCCTGGGAGCTGGGGGTCTCTATCGAGGATATAGCTGGGGTCATTCTTCGGCTGGGGGGCAGGGCATAGATGTGGAAGACAGTGCAAAGGTGGCAAACGGCACTTCGGTGTCAGCTGCCTCAGGCCGCAGAGGAAAAAAACGGGAGGCCTAAGATGTTAAGCGACTTGTCACAGATCACACAGCAGCCCTGCGTCCAGAGCTCAGGACCCCTGTAGTCCCCAAGAAGGCCAGCCCCTGCCCTGCCAGATGGCAGGGGACCAGGGGGAGCCAGGAGGGAAGGCCTTCCTCCCTGGGGGCCCGTGGCTAAGGGCAGGGGCCTCCCTCCATCCTCAGGGGTTCGACGAGGACCTGCAGCAGGAAGGGACGCTCCTTGGCCAGTTCACCTACGACCAGGACGGGGAGCCCATTCAGACGTTTTATTTTCAGGTATGGAACTCCAGGTCTGCTCGCAGAGGTGTGGCATACTTACTTTCCCATCCATTCATCAGGTGTTTTCTGAGTACTTACCCTGTGCCAGGCACTGGGGGTCCCAAGTGAGAAGCCACAGCCCAGCCCACCCACAGCTTGAGATACGAAACAGAGAACACTGTCCGAGTGGTGTGGGGCGGGGCCCTTCCAGGGATGGTGTTGGAGAACCTGTGAGGGCAGGTGTCTTGAGTGAGGCTGTGGCCTGGCAGGGTGTCACACGGCACAGCCTGGCTGGGCCCCAGAGAGGGGCCTCTTGCCTCAACCTGAGTGGACATCGGTCTCCTAGGCCCTTGTCAGAAACAGCTTCCCAGTCTCCAGCCCATGTGACCTGAGAGCCACCCCAGAGGAGTCCAAGTGTGGAAACTGGGTGAGGTGGAGGAGGGACCAAGGCGGGAAGAGAGGCAGGCCTGGCTGCCAGGCCAGAGAATTTCAGCTCTCAGCAGAAAACGAGCGTACAGAGGCTTGATGGGAACTTGACCAAAAAAAAAAAAAAAAACAACCACACTCTGCTTAATTCATGGTGAAGGAATCCTTTTTCAACATTAGCATGTATCAGACTTTCCTCAAAGGTGGTCCTGCTCATGGTCAGAAGGAGCCCCTGGGAGTTTTTCCCAGTTCAGGATGCATTGTGCTCGTGTTCAGTTGTAAGGTCGTATTTCTGTGGCCGTGGGTGCCTCACTCAGCCTTAACGTGTGTTCCCAGCCCCTGTAGGGCCTCGGAAGCCTCTGGGGCTTCTTGGCCCACCAGCTGGAAACTCTTCCAGGGCCTGAAGACGGGACTTTTGAAGTCTGGTTTCTCCGCAGAGGCCTGAGAGAGGGGGTATCTGGCCCTGGGTGTGGCCGTCTCCCCTCCAATCTGAATTCTTAGCCCCTCCTTTTCTCTGCAGGATCCTAAAATGGCCACGTACCAGGTGGTGGAGCTGCGCATCCTGACTAACTGGGGCCACCCCGAGTACACCTGCATCTACCGCTTCAGGGTGCATGGGGAGCCCGCCCACTAGGCCTTCTCTGTGCTGCTGCCGGCCATGCCCCCTCTCTGGGGTTAGGTGCACAGCACCTCCCCGACTCCCCGCACACGCTTGAAGCGCACTGACTTCCAGGAGCAAGAAAGGAGCCCTGGCACAGTGAAGATGAAAGAACACGCAGGCTTTTCCTGTGCAACGGGCGGCTCGAGTGGTCAGCAGGCCCCCTTCTCTCTCTTCCTTCTTTGCTCTCCGCGTGCCAAGCACTGGGCGTCTTCTCCCTCTTGGAAGGGTGTATATATGTAGCATGTCATGGGGAACTGAGGCGGGGAGAGCGGGGTGATGCCCGTGGTCCAGCAAAAGTGGACCGGACCTGCCTGCCCCTGGCCCGTGTGGAGGGACTGACACCTCGGGAGCTGCGCAGATGAAGCAGGTGCCAAAGCTGTGGGTGAGACAGGCTAGGGCCTGGGGCAGCTGGGCCATGCCCCCTCCCTTGGCGAGGGGGGTGCTCAGGGTGCAGGTCGGGACTGGTCCCCAGGCACGAAGCTCCTGGGAGAGGGTGGCTGGGCTCCTCCAGACGCCAGTGCCATCAGCCGAGGCTCACAGCATTCCCGAAGGGCTTCTGCACACTGCTGGGCCTGGGTCAGGGTGGGCCAGCGCCTTCTTGTACCCTGGAGGGTCTGGCTCCTGGGAGCCTACAGGAGCCCCTCTGCCGGGGACAGCAGTTGTCTTCTCTCTCCTGACGCTGGGCCCAGGGCCCGCTCTGCTCCCCTCTCGGGCTCGGGCCCACCTGTTCCCCAGAGCAAGCCTGCCACGTTCCCCCAGGGTGTAGGGGTGCAGACCTGTCTTCTGGGGGCAGCCAGCAGTGCTCACGGAGCTCCCTGGGCTCTCGTGGTGGCCCAGTGACATGATGAGAGTGACATCCAGGGTGTCACCGGGGTGGGGCGGGGTGCAGACTGTCGGCCTGCCCCACCCCATCAGGCCCCTGATCCTAAGCCATCCCTGGGGCTCATTCAGCTCTTGCTTCATTGTTTCTATTCTGACTCATTTTCTATGGGGAGCAGTCACGGGTGGGGGAGGGGGGGTGATTAAGGAGAGGGTGCTGAGGTGGGAGCTTTTGGACCCGGGAGGCCCTGCTCTATTGTGTAAATATTTTTCAAGGCCTTGTTTTTTAACTGAGAAGCTAAGGGCTTGCTGTCTAGCCCCGTTCTGTGGGGCCTTGGGTGAATTCAGTCCCTTGTAACCTGGCTGCTGAGAGGGGCCTGGGGCACTGACTGGGTTCTTGCTCTGCGGTTCACTCCGGCCTGTGGGGAGGGTGCAGGAAGGGCTACTGCAGAGGGGGGTGCCCTTGGAAGAGCTCCTTGAGGACGGGGCTGGAACAAGGCGAGGCCCCACAGGCCCCCTGTGCTGCCCAGCGCCGGCCCCTGCCGCCAGGCCGCCGGGTTTTGTTTGCGCTCTCTTGTCACAATGCTGCACTGTTGGTTCTTAATTTTTTTTATCTCCAGATCCTAATTTATGCCTATGCAAAAAATAAATTATGCCCAGGGTTAATGGAGTGTGTGGTGTGGTTTTTATCTGGCCATTGCGTGGGACTCTGCTCTTGGGAAAAAGAGAAAGGCTTCTTAACCAAAACAATGTCCCAAAGGCTTACCTCCTAAGCTTTAGAAACCCAGGCTTCTCAGCTGTGATGGGAGATGGGACCTGAGGCTGGCCCTGTTCTGGTGACTCCTGGGTTTGAGAAAGGGAGGTGGCTTTATTGGCCATCACTGATGTCCACTGGGAAGCAGGCGGCTTGCCCTGCATCTCTCAGTGGAGCAGTAGGAGTGACCCACTTGACTCTGAGCTCGTCTATGCCAGTGTCGCAATCACCCTCCACAGGAGTTAGACCCTTGTCCCTGTGTTGGAATGGGACGAGGTGGGTCCCCTGAAGAGTCAAACTCTTGCCAGTTCCAGGGAGCAGGTCCTGGCCCTTCCTTGCATGTATTTCCCCAGATTCAGTGCCTCCAATGAGCAGCTCCAGGTGCCCGAGGTGGTTCCCCATCTGGACTCAACACACGCCTCATCCTGACCATGGCACCTGGCTCAGGGCTGGGCCCCATCACAGCTGAGAAAATAAAGGCAGGAACATGTCAGCAGGGAGGAGCTGGAGGTGAACTGCTGTAGGAGAGGGTGTCAGGTGGGATACACAGCCAGGCCTGATGCTTTGGGCCAGTTACTCAAGCCCTCAGCTCTCCACCAGGACAGAGCCAGTCCCAGGAAGCACGGCTCAGCAGCCGCTTGCTTCATTACCTCCTGTCTCACTTAACACCTGCACTGTATTTACCACCATTTTTCAACAAAGGCCACATCCCTAAGCAGCACCAGTACACAGTCTCTGGAACTGACCACATACAATCAGATTGCTCAGGGCCTCTGCTCATGCCCTCTGGGGCCTGTCTGTACAAGTGCAAATCTGATGAGTCCTTCATGGTACAACCTGCCAGGGATGGTTCCCCATCTGGACTCAACATACGCCTCATCCTGACCATGGGACCTGGCCATCTTCTCCATGGTCTGTCTCATGACCCCAGTCAAACCTGCTCTTCCCTGCACCATGGCATGTTGCTGTTACCTTATTCTGGTGCTGGGGAAGTCAGAGGGTCAGAACAGCATGCCTGGATGAATTCAAAAAGGTCACACATGCTAACTGCATTGCAGAAGGTCAGGATTTGCCATTTAAGATGACTGGATTAACAACTTTTCTTCAACTATGACAGGGCTGATTGTTTGTTCCAAATAGACAGTGGGTAGGGCTGAGACCCATACAGGACCTTTGCAGTCCCAGCCAACGACAGTAAAGTGCTGCCATCAGTCCCCTGGCTAGCAGGTGGGGCCTGGTGACCACAGAGATAAGACTGATCTGAGTGTCTGAAGGCAGAGGCCAGGGTGGAAGCCATAGCTTCTAAATGTAAAGGAAGTGGTTATGTTCACAGAGGCAAGAGACTGCCAGCTAAATGTGGTTCTGTTTCAAGGTCCCACATGGCCAAGTCCTGTGGGAACAAATTCCACAGCACCTGCCACAGGGACTGAAAGTATGGGTTGCTACTCCACCTGGAACTCCCACCATGAAGGCACCCTTGGACAGCAGCCCCTCTAAGCAGAACCAGAGTCAAAAAAGCAAAGGGGAGACAGCCAGCAGACAAAGGAACCAGGGCCGGCTGGAGGACATGCTGGAGCGGGTGACCGGAATGGCTGGGGGCTGGGGGCACTGCTCCCAAGTTCTTCTTAACTGGAAGGACATCACTAATGCCACCTCCCTCCCAGATGGTAGCCGCGAATGTTAAAGAGCATGAAGTGAGGGAAACGCCTGGCACGGTCCCAGCTGCACAGCAGAGCCGAGTCCGTGCCACATCTGTCCTTTGGATCCTGTCCCCCAGCTTGTGGCCTCTGCTGTGGACTTGGGAGCCACCATGGGTGAGAAGCCACGTGGTGACCACTCACCAGGTACCTCCCATATGCTGGGCACATTGGGATCTCATGCTCGTTCTCTCGCTGAATGCTCATCAACCTGAGGCAGGCATTCACCTTTCTCACTGTGGATAAGAAAGCTGAGGTTCAGAGGATGCCAGCTGGTCCTGGGTCACCACTGGCTGAGAAGCCTGGGTTCTTGAAGCCACGCCTGCCTGGCAGGAGAAGCTGGGCTCCTGCGGGCCTCGCCTGCGGCCGGGGCTCCAGGGCGGGGAGAACAATGGAGGTCCCCGTGGCAGCGCCTCTACCTGGAGGGGCTGGGCAGGGAACACAACACCATCAACTTGAAACAAACTTTTATTTTGTGTGCTGGTCTGGTCGGTCCATGGCCACAGGTTAAGTGGTAACTAGAAATAGGAGGGGAGGAGAAGGGACCAGCGGTCTGGACGCAGGAGGAGTGGTGAAGGGTTGGGGACGGAGGGGAGGGGAGGCTGAGGAAGGACCCAGCCAGGTAGGTGGGTGTCCCAGGCTAGAGAAAGAACACAGCTCTGCCCACCAGTCCACCCTAAAGTGAGGGCTTAGTCAGAGCTCAGGCCAGGCTGGTTCGGGGCCCGTGTTGCCCTCTCTGGCCCGGGCAACACCACCCCCACCCCAGACAGTGATTCTTCCTGAGGGCTTAATGCTCTTGAGATGGGTCTGGAAGAATCTTGTTAATACCTCCTGCCTGCCCTCCCGGTACTCCAATTAGAGCTTCCCAATCTGGGCTCGGGCCCTTCACTCTTGTGCTCCTGTAGCAGCCGTGCTGGGGCGATGTGGGCAAATAGGGGTTCTGTTCCTGCCTGGCTCAGAGGAACAGTGGGCACCCCCACCAACAGGAAGGGCTGCTGAGCGCACCCTGAGTGGGCAGCCCCGAGTCCTGGTCCTCTGGCCCGAGGCCCAACAAGACTGAGTCCAAGTTCAAGCAGGAGGCAGCCCTGGGGAGGGCGAGGCGAGAGCGTCCAACGTGACAGAATTGGCTGAGGAGGGGTCACCCCAGTCAGCTGAGCAAACAGAAGATTGTCTCAGAAGGGCAAGAAAAGCCATCAGCTGTCTCTAGGTCAAGGGCGAGGGTCAGAGATGGGGGAAGGAGGATCATACTATCCAATCGCCAATACCCCCCCCACATCTACGGGTTACAGCTTAAGAGCTTTTGGCATTAACTGTTTGGGGGTTCAAGGGGAGCAAGAGGGAGAAAGAGAACAGGGAACCACCACTCTTGGCTCTGCTAAGATCCCCAAGTCCCGGAAGGAGGACTCCAGTACCAGCAGACACTCCCACCTGGACGCCCGCAGCCACAAGGCGGCTCCAGGTACAGAGAATGGACACGGGGTGGGGGGGGGGGGGGCACGCCAGCCCCTGACAGCCCCGGAAGGTTCACACAGACACACACAGACAGACGTACAGACAGGCAGCCAGCTAGCTCCTGGAGGCCAGTGGCCAGCCACAGAGGAAAAAGGAGAAAGACGCCCAGGGCCCTGATCGGCCGCGCTCCTGCACCTCAGACACACACCCCCACACACAACCACACGCACACTAGATAGAGAGATAGATAT